TCAACGAAACCGACGACGAATCATAAACGATTGGAATCTACACAAATCGGAAANACTCTGCTAGAAAGAGCGGTGCCGCACAGCGTTTGGAGACAGGACCAAACCATTACATGTAAATAGAGGGGGTATACAGAGGCTTTGGATAATTAACTTTTAGAAACAAAAAAAGTGAAATGAATCGTAAGTTTAGTGAGTAAATTATCCAATATAATGTTATATTAATGTTCATTATTGATGATTGATGAAAGGTTACTTAAAACATTTTTTTCTTAATGTTCTACAATTTTTGGGGCCCCTGTCAGTCACGGGCCCTTAGAATCGTCCTAACTTTTCACCCCCTTACGGCGCCCCTGTTCTCTCCACAATGATCAATAACAGTGAACGGCTGGTCAAAGTAAGGTACAAATAAACAGAATCACACGAAGCCTGGTTAGTGTTGCCTTACTTTATAAAGTGTGTTTTTTTTTTTTATAAGTGTGTGGTTGCCTTCTAGTCACTTTGCTCAGCACTACTGCTTGCAGGCAGGCATGACGAGACTCTTCAATCGACCCATGTTCAGGGGAGGTGGGTTTAGTTTCCTGAACGCCTCGATGTAAGCGACGCCGCCTCTTAGCTCTTGCCTCTAGACCGGAGGTGCCAAGTACGTCGACCGCGCGGGGGCAATGCTGGTAGATCGCGAGTCATTCATAAAAATAAAAAATCCAGCTCCGTTAAAATAAACATGATCCCTCCTCCCTTGGCCTCCCTGCCACTTAATTCAGGAGTTAATAACACGATAAACACGAAAGATCCAGACGAGATCTCTCTCCCCAGTCTGTGTGCGAGGGGGGCGGGGCAGTTTACACACACGCGGCTGCTACATGCAGAAACACACGACGGGGATAGCGGAGAGAAGCGCTCCAAGGTGTGGTTAAATGTTACCCGTCTTGAGGTGGACAATGGTCGTTGCCAAGAGGGCAATAAGAATTTAGCATGTAAGGGCGGTAACACGAGCAATTTGTCTAAACATTTAGCAAAAGTGCACCACATTCAGACGGAGGAATGCACCGGGTTCGACTGTCTTTCTAACTCTGTAGCCCCATCCACGAGTGCTAGCAGCAACACACGGAGTTAACTCAATGATGCAAACATGGGTTAATGATTAGAGGTAACTGAGTTATTTAGTTTGTTAAAGTTTCACCTATTCTGTTTACAATTCTGTCATCACATTATTTAATACGATTTGTTAAAACATTGTTGTTTCTTTTGATGTGAAACATTATTTATTTAATTTAAATAAAAAGCAATGTTAATTTTGTTCACAATTTGTTAAGTTAATTTAATAATATATGTATTTTTGAATCAAGTATTCATCTTTATTGTGTTCATTGTTAGTTTCCACATGCCTAAAACAACCTCAAGCTAAATCTAAAAGTTGATGGCTAAATAAGAGCGTTTGAGAAATTGTGCAAGGCATACAGAAATAGTCTGAATAGTCAATTAATCGTTTCATTAATCGATAGATTAATCGATTATCAAATTAGTCATTTGTTGCAGCCCTATTGTAGTTATCCCATGTAAAAATAAAACGTGTTATTCAGCAACCCTTGCAATTTGGGATTTTATTTTTGGTTGGTAGACCTCGGTGAGCTGGTCATTTCAAAAGTAGCTCACCAGCCAAAAAAGTGTGGGCACCCCTGCTCTAGACCGACAATTTTTTGGGGCTGGAAGTGAACCGGATTCCGGAGCTAAGAGGCGGCGCCACTGTGTTGTGAACAGGAAAAAACGGTACTTTTCAGGCTCCAGCTCCGAGCCGGAGCTGAAAACGCGTTGGTGTGAAAGGGGCATCAGTGGAGTTTTGGATCATGATTGGGGCTGTGAAGCAATGTTTACAAAAGAAAAAGCATAAACATAAGTGTGTAGAGATTCCTGGAGCAGATGTTATTCTGCTGTTTGTAACGCAATGACACTAAAGCCAACAAAGGAACAAGCCAACAAGCTAGGAAACATAGCTGTAAACAAAGCCATTTTTTAAATATTTTATTAGTTAATTGTGTTTTTTGTGGCGTTAGGAACTAACACCTTTTGTATTGTTCCTGTTCTCCCCTTACTCCTGTTGCAAACATATTAGTAGCATTAATCTAAGAAAAAGGTTTCCTATCACTGAACGCCTTAGTGATAAAAAGTGTTATCTTTAATAGGATAAAATAATATTAGTATGAGCAAAGCATCCAGTATAAGGAGCTGTAGCACACTGTGTCAAGCTTCAGGGACAAAACCCATCAAGAGCAGGCATGCAATCAAACAGCAGCCCTTTAAAGAAGCTCTAATAGGATAAAATCCCAGTGAAAATAATGACGTCAATAAAAGCTATACCAGTGATTAGAGAAACCACACGGTGAAACCTGATGAGCAAACTAGAGCCACTAGGTGAGTTTGTATGGCCATAAAACAACATTATTTGCTTAATGCGTGCACTATTGTGTGAGTTTCCTGCATTACCTTCCAGGAGAAATGAGATGCAGGGATAACAAAACCGTCTGTAAAGCAGAGGGAGAGGAGAGGAGGGGAGCTGTGTGTGGCTAGGTGCATTAACATACAGATAGAATAGGTAAAGAGTTTTAATGTACTCAGGAGGCTGGGAGGATGGGGAGGTAAAGTGAGAGGTGGGGAAGAAAAGAGGGAATGAGAAAGACAATCAGCAGCCGGGTGCCACAAGGCAGGCATCCATGACCTTATATCTCAGTTCACAAGGGGCAGAGGAAGAAATGAAAGGCCTACAGGAGGACAGACATATAGGTAAAGGAAAGACGAATGGAGAGAAGGTAAATCTGAAAGAGAGCACAGGGACCACAATACATCTCAAAGAAGTAGGGCAGAGTGAGAGGAGGGCTAGAAAAAGGAGACATCTACAAAATGTTTGGCATATCCATGATTGCATTAAAAAAAAGTCTGGTCAGCTTAAAATTGAAAGAAGAAGACATTTGAACAAAGCACATTGGTAGGTTTGTGGTGTGACAGATCAAACCATGCAGAGAGGTTGGTCTGGACCCACACATACAATCAAATGACTTAAAATAAGTGCAACAGTCTTTTTGCTTTGAGGAATACATCTTATTTGACTGCAGTTTATAAGTAACCCAAGTCATGGAAAAGCTGAAAAAGAGCCCAGTATTCAGTCTCAAGCATTCATATCATTGCTCAAGGTACGGCCGAGGAGATGTGTGAAACGGGCTTTCAGCCAGAATTAGTGAGAGGAAAGACAAAAGCCTCTGCACTACAACAATCATAAAGACAGACAATAAGAACATTATGGCGTCAAGGTGTCGCTCAACACACACAATGGAAGCTGTTGAAAGGTCACTAAAAGAAAAGGAACCCACCAAAACACAACAAGCTGAACCTCTCTAAGTAGTGCATGGTCTCCCTTCAGAGAAACACTTCTGTCTGGAGGCAAGAATTCCCAAAGCGTATCTAGACAACATTTCCCTTTACTCCCCCTTTCTGGTGTGAGACTGAGAACATACAATCTGTTAGCAGCTCTGCATTTACACCCTCCAGCACTCCATCCCCACAACATAAACCCTCACCCCTCCTCTCTCTGCGGACCTAACTGTCGCTGTCCTTGGTCCTAACACAGAAACCAGAGCATGTTGCAACTCTTAAAAGGCAGTTTGTGCAAACTGCTGCAGCCTTGTGTGCTAACGCCAGAACAGAACAAAAATCAAGACCACTTTAGAGCGAGGCCTGTAGTTTGGCATGTATACTGGCACACTGACAGGAAGAGTTGGAACTTAGTAAAGTCTTCTTCCTTACCTATAAAACTCTACTGCACCAGAGTCACAGTGCAAATAATCTATGGCTTTGAGTAATAATTACCATTAACAGAGATGGTACAACGTTTGCTCCTGTTCATACCGATGTATATTTTTAGTGGCACCCCTATCTATGGCATCTTTCACACTGTACTCATGTTAAAGAGGATATGCCCTTTTCCCTGGAACATACAAAAAGACCAAAACATCCCAATATCCAATGCTGGATTAATGAAAAGTTATTACGGAGTTCATATAAGTCTTAGAAGAGCCTTTTTTAAATATTAAAGAGCATAACAATTTGTGGCTATTTGATTTGCTGATCTATTTCAACTTTCAAAATAAAGCTGATGAATCTACATACAGTATAAAGGATCCCTTAAATGTAACTCGATTTTTATGCAGCATGATTTTTTACGTGATCTTATAGGGTTGAAAATCATTGTATTGCAACTTTACTCTAGGAAACAGAGGGATGTTATGTTGGGCTAAATGAGAAATGGCTTTTGCTTTTATTTGGGATGCATCTTCCCACCATCTGCAGGGCATCTCAGCCGCTGTGTAATGAGAGGCACATGTATCCAGTATGACAGAAAGGTGGTGTATAAAAGAAGTCCATTTACTGTTTTACCATTCCCAATCAGACTGGTGAAACCGATCCTCAGAACACACAGAAGTTGTGGTTGAAAGAATTATCTTATATTGGCACTTTTTGTTTTACCTTAACAGGCACAGACAGATACAAAAAATAATGTCCTTTTGGCCCATCCTTAAATGTTAAAAGAGAACTACAGTTTTGTAAACTACAATTATTTGACTCCTTTACAACAGCTAGGCCTGATTCATTTGATGTTGACTACAATGAGGGGGAATGAAATGAATATTGAAGTAGGTCTCAATACTACCTCAAGGTTTCCCTCTGACCTCTCTAACATCTTTCATTGTTATTATTATTATTATTATTGGCAGCAAAAAGTTCATTACTTTAGTATTCACACAGAAACCACAACTTTGAGGATCCTTGATCCAGAACACCCCAGTCTTTGTAAAATATACAATAGTATTTTCAAATAGCTACATTTAATAAAATAGTGTTTAATTGAATTTGTATCTGTATGCATGAATATGTTCACCGTATGTATACAGTTATTCAAAACGTATATGTTGACCTTGGAAGTGTTTAATAGAAGTCTTGGTTGAACTTACCATGAGGTTATTGGGGGCAGGCCTCTCTTTGGGTTGCCGTCGCATGCTGAAAAAAAAAATGTAAAAGTGATACAAGCAGTCTGTATCCAGCCACTATTCAAACTGTCTTTGCAAATGTACAAGAGGTGTTTTTGACTTTCATCTCGGTGGCATCCTTTTCAGTTATGAAGCTATATTCAATAAGAGTTCGGAATAGAAACAACATTTCTTTCAATACATTTATTTATTGAATATTTCAAAAATAAAATGGATTTGTTTTATTTGTCAGAACACTCAAATTGAAGCAATAACCACATATTAGTAGATTTATTAGATTCATGTGGGTTTTGTGAGTGTCCTTTATAGTATGGGCTGTATATTGCGGACTTTGAGGAATTAGTGTAGGGGCCTCTCTGCAGTTTGTCATGTCAGCAGTTTATGTATCACAATGAATGGGCCATGATCCTCTAAGAATAGCCTGGGAGGAGATACTGCACCGAGGCAGGTACCTCAGTCTGTCCTGAGAGAGTCGTGCCCCGTTTAAGTAAACAAATCAGGCATGGGGGATAAACAACAGATGGCACAACCAGGCCCTGAGTGCGGTACACACACACACACACACACACACACACACACACACACACACACACTCTCTGCTTGCATGTGGTTTGGGTGTATATGTACATGTTTGTGCAACTGTAAAGGTTACAGGAGGCTAATGAATCAGAGGCAAACTCAGGGTAAACATTGTCTTTGTCCTGTTGCATTAGAGGATTCAATCATCCCTTTTTATTCAGCAGCATTTAATATCATAGCTAAAACCATTACAAGCACAATGCATTAACACACAGGCAAATACACTTTAATCCCTTTGTATTACCATTATACCTTTGATTCATCTACCATCATTTGGCTCATCTATGTCAAATGCAGCTTCTGGTCTTGTAATTGTTCAGCGTGGCTCTGTGGGGCTCAGATGGCTGACTGTGCCACGCATATTAAGACATTATTAACTAGAATCACAAATACTGTGCAATCAACAGCCATTGAAAACTGACAACATTCCGTTTGAAATCTGAATGTTTTCATTGAAACAATTTCTGTGTCTGTCCTTCGAGAAACAGATTCGTATTGAATAGTAACTGACTCACCACTGAGTGATGAAGTGAACAAACTTCTCACTGAACTGGCCCACAGGAAACACTGGAGGATCCTGTGAAGAAGAAACAAAACCACTGAGAAAACAAGACATATCTCATTCAAGGATGAGAATGACCTGCTGTACAGACTGAAAGATACTGACATACGTATCTGCATGATTTAAACGGGATCCTACTTGTTATGTCATTTAATCACTCGTAAAACCAGAGTTTAGACCAGTGCAAACCTCCTGAAAATGTTGAATTGGTAGTTGGGTTAAGTTTGAAAAATCGAATTATGATCTTAGCTTTAAGGGGGTTGTAGCAGTATGTCAGAAAGGATCTAAATTAAACCTTTTTAGATATAAAACATTATAAATTAAAATGGGTTTTGGTACACTAAAGACAGAAAAGACATTGTCACACCTTACCACCGACTGAGGAATATTATTGTTGCTTTGTGAAAAAAAAATGCTGGTTTTGCCAAATACTATAGCAAGATGTTTCGACAAGGTTTAATGCTTAATAGAAAACAGACAAGTAAAAAAGACCACTTTCAAAGACTACATAACGCTGAAGAGCCTGGATTGAGAGTTAAGTATCCTTCACTTTGAGTCTGACCTCAAGGCTACAGGCTACGTGGAGTGGTCGTTGTACAACACTTGCTGGAGGACATAACTTTTGTCTGGTTGGGTTAATTAATCAACAAATATGTTGATTCATAAAGGGGGATGAGCTGGCGTATTTTGAAGCCGTCATAGTTTAGATTCCCAGCATTACCGTAATGGAGATTATGTTGAAAGAACATGGCTGAGGTTTTTAAAGGAGCAACATGGCTCTTCTCATTGAAAAGAACCAAATCAAGGTCTTCTAGCCAAGAAAGAAACGCTTAAAAAGTGAAAGGAAGTTGTTAATACAATTGATTTATTATTCAGAAAACACTACAATTGGGAAAGAATGATAAAGAAAGACTAGACAAAAAATAAAACCTTCTGTTCGATATTGAAAGCCAATGCAACTAAAGGGAAAATTATAATAATGCCCTTAAAATAAATAAAATACAAATGAATTTCTTTAGTTGATTTGAATAGTGCATGTTCATACTATCAGAGCAGCTGGTACACACACACTCCACAAAGGGACATTTCATATTTAGATTGTTTTCTTTTTGGTCAATTATTGACTAAAAGACTGAGACTATGACTGTGACTAAAACTCACAAAGACATTTAATTTTGGGACGGTGACTAAATATGCTGCTAAAATGAACATGAGTAAGGTGTGTGTGTGTGTGTGTATGTGTGTGTGTTAGTGTGCATCAGGCTTGTGACATGTTGTCAATGGAGGGTCTATGAACCGTGTCATGTAGGACAGCTGGGCCAGACTGACCCTGTATTACTGCCCTCACCTCATCACTCCGCTCCTTTCTCTACCTTTGACGGATCTTAGTATGTAGGCTTATCTTTACCAATGTGGACCACTGCATTGCAAAAGCAGTATATCAAATTCAGTTTTAATGACGATATGTATATGTAGAGTATGGTAATCTATATTAATATGTTTTTGTTGATCAAATGAATGTTTAAACTGGCAATCATTTCAACACAATTCCAAGAATAACTTTGATCACTAAAACCTTCCTTTGACACTGGTTGCTGAAATGTAACATACCGCATCCTGACACACCAGCATGAGCACATGACAGATGTTTACCCCAGATCAAATAGGTACTATTCAAATATGATATGTTAAAACTAAGTTGACCAGTAGGTTATTGGTAGGTGTTAGTCCTTCACGATATGCACAACAGTTATAACCAATGATATGAGCTCAGATGTGAAAACAAAACAAAAAAACGACTCAAATATCCACTACAATCATAAAGCATGGGTCTACAACCAAGCGTTTATTCAAATGCGGGGAATTAAACCTCTTCGCATCTGAAGCCCTGCTGTGCCATTAAAAACACCTCTGGGCAGTGTTCGCTTTTCCTTAATGCTCTGATCGGCAGGCTCTCGCAAAGCATGATGCATGAACCCATTTAAATTAACAAAGGAATGGGTTCCCTTCTAATCTCACTGCACTTCACAGTGCTGCCGCCGCTTGGATGAGCAATATATCATAGCACATGCACATAAACACACAGGCATGCACAAACAAATGCCCTTGAGCAATGCAAACCACAAGTCTGAGTGTTCACTCTGTTTAGAGAGAGAGAACCAAATCATTTGCAACCACTGTATTGCGGTGTGCACACACGATCTTGACTACACAACTCATGCATGTCGTGTAAGCTAAATCTGATACAAAACCTCTCTCTGCACTTTCCCCGCATATTTGCATGCACATGCAGCTTTTTGCAGGCACAAACACAAACACACACATTTATGCATGTATTCATGTCTCCAGCTGAGAGGAACACCGCTGCAGCTTTGATGTGGCAGCAGGCGACGGCACAAAAGACAAGCAGGCTGATGAAAGTGGCTAGTCTGCGTGAATTATTCCTCTGGTTGTCAATGCGATCCACTCTGAGACAGAACACACACTACGAGGGTACAAGGGTACAAGTAAATATACATGTCATTGCCATGAAGCAATTATTAGGCAAAATTAGATCAGTAATTACAGGCTTGAAAATAAAGTGGGAGTTCTTTATTAGTGGAGCCACTTGCTATTCAACAAACAGAGCAGACAGGCACATTAATGAGGGTCGACAGCGGACAGATGGTGGGAACAACTCCATAGAACTTCTCGTTCAAGACCTAAGCTGAATAAGGTGAGCATGTTTCTCTGCCATACACTATTAACATCCAAAAATAAAAAGAAGGCCTAATAGAAAAGCAATTTTTACACAGGCATCCGCTGAATATTGCTTTAGGTTTTCCCACAATTGTACTTTTTTCTGTAACACAGTACGAATTGATTTCAATTAACTAATTTCTACAGAGAAAAAAGGGGCTGTAATGAAAACTATGGAGAGCCTTTTCTTTGAATAGTCTATGACATTAAAAATATATTTCTTAACAATGTTACATAAAATCCCTTTATGTTGGGATATATGGGGACACGTGCATGGCTAGATACCATTAGGTTAGTGAGAACATATTTATTTTTGTAGGTAGGATGAACTTAGTCTTGTTTCCATTCATCTTGTAAGCTGTGACATTTTATCAGTTATATTTCTATCTTTGTTGATGGGTTTTTAAAAGTGTCTCTATTTTCCAAATACAAATTCATTTCAGAATTTGTATTTTTTCTATCTGTTGATCTGTTTACCTTTTAACTGTAAACTAACTTAATTTGCATCTCCACATATATTTGGATTTTTTGTTTTTCTTGAGCTCATGAAAGGCTTTCTCAGCCCTGACACACTGTGTGGTTTTGTGTGATAGGAGTAGAAGAAAGAAAGTGGCAGACTGTTATACTGCAACCCCCACCACACACATACCTCCAGCCAGAATAATATTAATGATCCACTCTATCCAGCCTATTACTCATTCAGCCATTAAAGCAACTTTCAAAGCCCCAGTGGATAAGTCACACACAATATCAAAGCATCACAACCAAAGAAAAAAAGTATATGGATCTACAGTATAATGGGCAATACTTACTAAATGTCAAGGACTCAGGTACAATTAATCACACCTGCCATAATGTTGAAGCCAGGTGTGTCTAGCTCAATTAAAAATACCTAATCATTAAATTAACTACTCCATTGGATCAGTGTTAGTCCATAATGCCTCTAAAAGTTATGCTATAAAAATAATTACCTTTATTTATCCAGCATATTTCAAAACAAAGTTGCAAAGTGCTCTATATGGTTGAACAAGGACATTTCAGGTCTGCAACAAGGCAAATTCAATCAGACAGGAAGCAGTCCAGCAATATAACTGGGTTGTAAACAATGACGCTTAAAGACTGCATGTTGTGTTTATCTATGATATGTTCCAGCCACATCATGTATACACAGAAACATGAAGGCCCGAGGGTTGAGCCTAGGGGAACACCACAGGTCAAATGGGCCACATAAAGGAGAAACTCCTAAATCTTCAAGAATAAGTTATTGGATTCATAACATTTGAAAAATCTGGCAGTTCTACTTATCAATAATAGAAAAAAACAATCAACTGTGTCGAAGGCCGAGGTGAGATCTAGAGTCCTATACATTCTCTGAGCCACTTGGTCAAAATAGTGCTTATCCTCTTGTCTCTTCGTCCAAAGCACTGCATTAGTTAGGACAGTAAGGCAGTGCTAGCTCGCTAGGGGTCAACATAAAACGTTCTCTGGCCTCAAGGGGAGAAACAGGGTAAGGCACAGGAAAAATTGTTTTGAGTGATGCCTCTGTCTCGCAGACTAATGAACAGTTCAGCCTAGGTCAATCCATTACAACCAAAAGCATTTAATTATTAATTACGGCCAAATCTATAGGCAGTTAAGGGCAAGTGACATTGTATGTTAAATGTGTAATACGGCTGGAGAAGGGGTTTTGGGGGGCTAGTTTAGGCAAGAGAGGTGTTTTGCTATTACTGGACGACAGCAAATAACTCAAAAAAAGAGTGTGGAAAGCTTGTGATTGCTGCTTTAAAAACACATTAGTGGTGTGAGCCTACATATCCATACACACAGACTCATTGAAATAGCATGTCAATTAATAAGGAAATATATAAATGTGTCTATTAGGAAAAGAGGGGAAACCTTTGAGCATTTCAGTATCAGACATTACCTACAGCAGGTAAACATATTATATAGAAATGGGCATAAATATGGCAGACTTCCTCTAAAGCCGAAATGTCATCAAATAATGTACATACAAATCTGGTTACAGTATGTCAAAATAAATTACAAGCGGTAAACTGAAATTGTTGAACATTTTCTACCTAAAATGTGTAATATATATTTTTCCCTTTTTATTGTTTCTTTCATACATATGTTTGTTTATGTCATTATAATTGCCTTTATTTAAGAGTTTTGTTATGCCTTTTATTATAGAAACAAACACACAGGGCCGTCAAAAGAATATTCCTGGTTAAACAATTGCTTTGTTGTTTTTTCTATAGTACACAGAATGGAGAGCTGTGCCGCTGAGTGTGTCAGTCGTGACAGGTCCAGCCTCAACAGTAATGTGCGTGTGCATATGTGTACTGCCTGAGGCAGTTGCATAGGGTGAAGGGTTGAGTGAATGGGGAGCAAAGCCGCCTGAGTGGTTTGCTTCATTAGGAAACAAAATATAAGCTTTCCGGGCCATTAGGACTGACTTTAGATGCAAAAGCACATAAGACGACGACTCACCTCATCAACGATGCATTGCAGTAACTGGAGAGGCTGCAAGAGGAGAGACACAGGGAGATGAAAACATGGAATTTCACAGCAATAGGGAAAATCAATAGTGTGATAAAAAAAAGTATCTACTTAGATTAATAAAATGCAGCGAGCTTAGCCAAAGCAATCCTTCAGCTCATGCATGTTTTTTTATTATTATTTCATAATGGCACCTAATGTATTACCAGCAGTTTAAGCATGATCTAATATTTCATTGTAAAAATGCAATTTGAGTGTTTATTCAAATGAGAGAGCCAACCAAGAGTAACAGACTATAGTCTGGGAGACCTATTTTCTTCCTTCCTACTCTAATGCAATAAAACTTACCATTAGGGATCCTTGGTTTTTCTGAATCTGTAGGGCAAGACAGAGAAGAGGGGACGAGGCAATATGTAATTAGCGTGTCATAATCAAAACGATACACTTGGACACATTATGATCACTAGGAGAAAATTATTTCTTTCCTGTTGGCAATTTGTGAGTATGCGTTACAACCATTTACATAATGAAAACACACAAATGTTAATGGCCTTGTTCTCATTTGTGGAGAATGGGGGTAAAAGATCCACTAATGCTAATTTTTAGAGACGTACTTTGTTCATACCCTCCAGGTTATCAAGATGTGCCGGGATAACTGTTACAAACAGTATGAGCAGGCTTTGTAATGAGCATGCTCATTGTGTCAGTTTCACAGGTACAACACTTGATGTTACATGATGACAGTGGGGTTAAAGCTATAGTTTTTTTGGAATATGCTATACGCAAAAATTTGATTTGTGTGCAGATCTTTGCAAACAAAATAACACCAAATATCTAGTGTTGAGTCGACAAATCAAAAAAACGAATTACTAAATGCGCTTCTTATGTTCCCGTTCAAAACGGGATATAGTCCTTGAAAATAAGAGCTAGAGTAGGAAGTCTTAATATGAAAGATCTAGCAATGAGAGTGTTTTGTGTAATCTAATGTAAGTGATACTACAGTGGGAGTGCATAAAGCATCTCGTTTTCCTTCTTTAAACCTCCCGGGCTGAATTCACCAGGACAATCTGGTTTGATTTCCAAAAGCCCAAATGTACAACGTACTCATATAGACTGAGTGCTATAGGACCTGAAACCTATAGTCTCAGCTAAATGTCTAAGAATGTTTGGTAAATAAATTGCTATTTTCTCTAGGTTTTTTGACAGTGCATTAGAGCACTTATTGATTCACTCAATTAAATACAGGTTTTCACACTCTGCAAATACCAAGAGGCTCCTAAACTGCCTCTATATCCAGTTTTGCCTGATTCAGACACATTAAAAGCAACTATGGAAAACTAATTTGTTCAGAAATAATTACTAGGACAAAATAGCGTGCTGCTCCAGGGGTTGAAATTGGATAGTGGGAGACTAACTTATTCAAGCATAATTGAGCACTTATTCTTCTTGTACTAGGTAGATTGACCGAGCATCAAAAAGAGATATTTCAAAATGATTTCCTTTTGTATCCTTTTAACAGTCTCATCACTAATGGCTGACTATCTGGTAGACATAGCATTATCTGCATGTTCATCCTGAGGGTAATAGTGTTTCATAGTTACACTTAAAAAGACTATAATTATGCATATCATAACATTTTCTTCCTATAAGAAGGACACAAATGATGTTTGACAAGAAATGAATTTGTGTTTGCTGAAGAAGTTGGGAATGGACCCACATCCAATAGGATTGTGTACGAGAGCAACCGAGTGTGTGTGAGAATGTGTCTGTGTGTGTAATGCTAAATGACGACTGTAGTTGTGAAGAACAACAGCTCCTTGTTTGGCTTTGTGAGCCACATCAACACTTTTTGGGTTGTTTGAAAATATCACAGTGGGCTCAGTGTGAAAATAGGAAGTCACAATTTTTGGATGTCAAATAATTTCTGTTCCTTTTAACAGCAACACAATAAACAGTTCTAAAAGATCAGATGGCCATTTCCCCCCTCAAGGATGTTCAGAGATATTTCTTCAAAGGTAAGGAATCAGAAAACTCCCGAAGAAAAAGTCTCACTTTGTGATCAAAAAAAGCAGAAAGCAATTTCTACAAGGGTTGACATGCATGTTTTGGGAATGGGCAAGGGCAACCCCTTTATTCTAAAGTCTACGCTCCAAAACTGCTCAATTTAGATTTGTTGAGGTAAACTTAGATGGCGTAACCTGTTTGATTAGTGCCAGTTATACAGACATTTTACATAGCTCAAAAATGTTTGGGTGACAACAAATAGCATGATAAGAAATAGTCAGAATGTAGCTGTAGGCCTACACATCATTTAAAGCCTAAAAAGGGGTCTAATACCCCGATTTAATTTTTCAACTAATCTCTTAAAGCGCCTGTCACACTGTCCCGAAATTGACACCCGATGGACACACGAATATGGAATTGTGAATTTCGCACGAAGATGGCCCCGAACCACGCACAAAGGCAACATTTACATTACATTTAAGACATACAACTGCAACGAAAGTAACACAAACAATAATGTTAAAGTATTATGATACTGTACTGATATTTTCCGACTTATTCTTTACTTTCTCCGTCTTTATATGTAGAAGATATTAAGTTTTCTCCGTCATGTTGTTTCCATAGCAACAACCACTTCCTCGCCTTCAAAATAATATATTATATCCTTTTTAGTTTCACAGAACACAAATTGGGTTATTTACATAATATGTTTACATGATTTTGTTGTGCAATAAAACAACCAGATGGACACACGATAAAGGAAATGTTCAAATTCGGCTCTGATCGTAGCAACATCGGGCCATTCGTGAGGGCATCTTAAGCCATCTTTGGCATGCCAAAGATTTTGCCACCGCTCCCGAAGTTGCTGCCGGAGCCTGAGAAA